GCAGATTCGATAGAACTCGCCACGCATATGATCTGGAATGGTTTTTATGACTTTGTATAGAAAGACAGATGTATTAAGGTCAACGAATAGGAAAAAGAACAAAACATAAAGGAGAAAATTGACCAATAAAGAAAATAACATATCGTCCAATACTAAAAAGAAAAAGAACAAAAATAGAGTTAAAGAAAAGAAAGTATCAGTAAAGAAAAAGGAGACAAGAAAAACATGGGACAATACTATTTTGAGTTAGATACAAAAGGGTGTAAATCTCTTTTGAACAAGTTCTTAAAAAAAAGCACTTTTTCTAGCTTATCCGTAAGCTAGTGCAATGGGTTGCACCTAGGTACTTTTATAGACAACCGGGTGAAGTCAGGCTTTTATTTAGTCTTAGAAATAAATGTATATAAATTGAATGTACTAAAAACTAAGAGGACAAGTCATAGCAAGATCTGTCAAAGAATAAAAAATATATATATATATAAAAAAAATTTTAAATTTTAAATTTATTATATAAATCTATTTTAAGTTTTTAAATAAATTTTTTTAGTATTAAAGTTTGTTTTTAGATTTACTTATAGTTATATATTACAATTATAATAAAAGTACAACTATCTATATATATACTTTTACTGCCTAATTTAAATAGTCTGTATTAAGTTATTTTATTTAAATTCTATACTAGATACAGTCAGACCTCTCTAAGTGTACGGATTATATAAACTCTCTCTAAATGCACAGTATAGTCCGGTTCTAGCTTATAAGAGTTCCATATATTTTGCTCTTTAGGGGGCATCCATATATAATGTTATGTACCTCTACATAGTAGCTCTTAACCCCCTTAGACTATATAAAAAAAATTTAAAAATCCTTATAATTGAATTTTTTAATTTTTTGCAATACATTGCACTTCCTAAAAAAATTAGGGTTAGTGTTAGAGTTAGTATTAGGGTTAGTGTTAGGGTTAGTATTAGGGTTAGGGTTAGAATTAGGGTTAAGTAAAATTGCGAGAGAAGTATTTTTACTTAGTTATATGACAGGGGTTACCTTAGTAAAATTTTGAGATATAGCAAATTTTAGATAAAGTTACAATTAGTTAGGGTTAGAGTTTAAGAGTTAGGGTTAGGGTTTAGGGTTTGGGTTAGGTAAATTGTGTAACAATCATTTTTTGTTAGTCACATGACAGGGTTACCCTAGTAAAATTTTGAGATATAGCTAGGGTGCAATATATTGCAGGTGCAATAAAAAATAAAATCTTATATAATTTTACAAAAACTTGAATATATTAAGACTTAGTGATCCAATTCGGGTGATTTTGGTACTATTCGAATCCTCTCCTCGAGAGGATTCGAATGGTACTAAAATTATTTCATTTGGATCACTAGATCACCTTTTATTAACAAATACTATTGATTTTATAGTTATTTTATAAGAAAATATAATAACCAATAGTATTTTGTTAATAAAACATGATCCAGTGATCTGAATCAAATAATTTTGGTACTATTTGAATCCTCTCCTCAAGATGATTTGAATGGTATCAAATCATCCAATTTGGACTACTAGATCAAATTTTAGACAAATTTTTATAAAAAAATTGCGTTATATTTTGGGGGACTCCTTTAAATATTAGAAAATTGTTATATTTTGGGGGACCCCCTCCCCCCCTCAAGAATAATGTTATTTATAGATGCCTTCTTATAAATGCACATCCTCTTTAAGTATACACTTTCTAATTTTTCTCTTATGATTCTAAAGAGGTGCATTTAGAGAGATCTGACTATACTTGTATTTGCAACCTAACTATAAAATTATTTATTTAATAGAATAAATGCATATCTCGCACTCTGTGATATGCTTATATATCGCACTTAAATATGATTAGCTAATTTTGCAGATTGTTATTTTGTAAAAAAAACAATTTATTATTATTTTTTTTTAGATTAAAGAAAACTTATAGAAAAATCAAGAAAAACGTTACAATTTTTGTACTTATATACAAAATTTGATGCTAAACAAGTTTACTTAGAAACTTTAAAAAGGTTAGCATAATAAAATTGTATTTTTTCATATTTTTTGCATATTTTTTACATTTTCTCTAGATTTTATTATTTCAATATTTTTTTTGTTTCTAATTAAACTTGTTCAGCATCAAATTATGCATATAATTGCAAAAAATTTTAACTATTTTCTTAATTTTTTATAAATTAGTTTTAATCTAAAGAAAATTAATCAAAATTTGTTTATTTTTTTATAAATAATGATCTGCAAAATTAGCTAATCATATTAAGGTGCAATATATAACTTTAATGCAGGGGTGCAAAGCATATTAAATTTCTATTTAATAATAACTATTTTAATTGCTATTTCTTTAACTTTTACTATATAAAGTAGATTTTAAATATATACTCTATTTTAAAACTAGTTTTTCTTTAAAAAAAACTTGCTAAAGTAGTTTATATTTTATTTATATATTTATTTAAACTTTTTAATAATTTCGTTCAAATAAGTATTTGTTATATTGTAACTATATTTGTATTTTAAGCTATTTTTTATAGTGTTGTTATAATATAGTTTGTATTTTAATTAATAATCTATTTGTTATCTGGAGAAGATCTGCAAAATTTTATAAGTAAAGTTTACTATTAATAGAAATGTTGTAAGCCTATATTTAAACTTTTTTTTTACTAAAACAATTAAAACTTGTCAATTAATTAAAAGTTGTAGAGCTCATCAAGACACATCTAATAACAGTAAGAGTGTCAAAATTGACCTAGTGGTTCTTGAGATATTTTTAAAATACATTTTGTATATATATAAAATTTTTTTTAAAAAAGTCTTCTTTTTTTAAAAAAATTTTATACATATGCAAGATGTTTTTTAAAGCTTTTACTACTATTAGATGTGTCTTGATGAGCTATACAACTTTCAATTAATCAACAAGATTGATTGTCTTAGTAAAAAAAAATTTTAGATATAGGCTTATCACTTTTCTATCAATAGTAAACTTATAAAATTTTGCAGATCCTCTCTAGGTAACAAATGAATTATCAATTAAGCTACTTTTTATAGTGCTGTTATATAATATAGTTTGTATCTTAAACTATAACTTTTTTTAAAAAAAGTAATTTTTTTTAATATAAGTAAGCAGTACTAGTAAAAGTAATCTAGTATAGATAAGCAAAACTTAAGTATCAATAATAGTGCTTAGCAAAATTAAACAAAAACTTGATTATTAAGTTTTTAAATTTATCAATTTACAATAATATAGTTATTATGCAAGTTGTAAAAAATATACATGCAGGTATTTAATGATAGCAGGTGATTGGTGCAGATCATGCTGTGAAGTAGCATGGTCTAAGCCAATTACTTGTTGTCATTAAACATCTACCTACATGCATATTTTTTACAACTATGCAATGATGGTATTATTATAAAGCAGTTATTAATAATTATACTATTTTCTTATATTCATATATTTATATTATTGATTTAAACTTTTTTCTTTTATTTCCTTTTTTTTAGAATGATGCCATTGTTAAAATTAAGCTCCAAAAAAAAAAAAGATGATAAATTAGTAATAACATAGAATGCAAAAATATAAAAATTTTTAGTGCAGTCATTAATAATATAGCTGCATAATAATATATATTAACAAACTCTTTCTAACAATTACTTGTACCAAAACTTTCTTATAAACAAAAGACAAAAAATTGTTAGAGATAGACAGAGATATACAACTAAAAATTAGTTTTTATAAAGGTTAACTCTATTGCTTTACAAGAGACTTCTTTATATATTTAGTATGCAAGCCAAAAGCGTTACTATATAAGATAACTGGCAAAAGGTGGTACTCTTGTATAGAAAATTTTAGTAGAAATACAAAGCAGTTTTTATCAACAAAGTATCTCTAGGTGTTTAATATAAGAACAACAAATAAACCTCTTAATACACTTACTAGAAAATTTTAACAATCATGATTTTAAAACTCCTTTACCATATTCTCACTTTTCTTGAAGCTTTTTTAAAAATATTTTCAACAAGCAAAAAGTAAGAGAATTGGCATATTTCTCTAAAAGATCTGTATTGTTTATATGCTCTGGGCCTAATCAGAGAACTTCTAATTATAGCAGCAAAGTGGTTTGAGATGTAGTCTTTGAACAGCAGTAGTATTTGGCTTGAAATAAAAATTAAAAGGTAAACAAGAGTTACAAGGAATTACGAGTTGCTATGTATAAAACAATAACTAATATTAATATGAAGTAAAGAGCTTGTTTCTAGAAAATTCTTGTAGTGCTAACCTACCACAATGATTTTATATATAATGCAGACTAAATTTAAAGTAGAATTAAATTAAAGAGTATTATATAATTTTTTAGCCCTTTTCTAGACTATATTATTGTTACAAAGCAGATTGTAATATAATATAATATTAGTATAGTTGTAGTATAAATTATATTTTATTATTATTATTATTATTTTTTGGTTTTAATAGTAGCCACTTTATTACATCTGAATGGTTAAGTATATTACATAGTAGTACAGCAGCCTAGTTTATATACATTTCTATATATCATCAGAAAATTTTATATATAAATATAAATTGATTAGTAACTACATGAATATATATCGATTGTAATCACCCCTACTGGGTTTCATCGATTGTGATTATAATCAATATATAGCTGGTTTTATACCTGACAATTTTTATCGATTTCAATCTAAATCGATATATATCTAATATGAAATAATTGTTTAACAACGATTAAGTTAAAATATCGATTAAAATCATTGTAGTTTAAAGACCCATATATCATATTATATATTAATTTGAAGCAATATTTCGAATTTGTAAAACTATTTTATTTTTATACATTATTATCATGACAACAATATAAACCTAAAAAAAGAAAGAACGTCAATACTGTCATGAGACAATTATGCCAAAAAGAGAAAAAAAAAAGCTAAAGCTAAAAAAAAAAAAAGAAAATCTACTACTACTACTAAATAACTCCAAACAATTCATCTAAATCATCTAGATCTAGAGAAGTTTGCATTGAAGAGCCTGGTCTTGAAATTGGTTCAGGTTCTTCGTTTTCTAAATGGGGCGAGATTGGTCAGGACCTTTCGTCTTCATTTCCCCAAGTTCATTTTTGAGCGGATTCATAGGAGGGTTCTCCATTATTTAAATTATCCTATGATGCAAAGTTCATTAATTTTGTGTTAATATAAACTGAAAAATGCTAATACTTACCAAATATCACACTAGTCAGCACTTCATAAGTTTCTCGGTGCATTTTACATTTTTTGACGCAGGGTTTAATAGTATATCGCATACTGATAACATAAATGTGCAATATTTGGGAGCCAAGTCAGATACCGCAGCTATAGAGAAGGCAGACCTTGCGATCATGTCAATCCAATAGACCCTACTATCGTTTTGTCGAAAAAGTGAGTGGAAGCAATCGGCAACCTCATTGATTTTTAGTATTAGAAATCAAAAAAGCAATTTTAGAAATTACAATAATTCTAATACATATCTAAATTCCATATACCTCATTACTTTTCTTCTATCTCACAATTTCTGATGCGGAAGTGTTAATTTTCAAGAGCAGGAGCTTTTCAGCCCCAAAAATTCTTCAAATGGCATTTCTAACGTTTTGTAACGCCGATCCATGGTAATTCTTCATTTTTTGTAGTAACTAATAAAATATAATAAAGTTAGAATGTGAATAAATAAACTATAGTAAATAAAAAAAAATAACTAAACTTAAATGATTACAAGAGACAAAAGCGTGAATACTACATACAGAACTACACCATTCAGCGTGGAAATGGTTTATAAATTCATTAGAGCTTATGTCCAACATAAACTCGGGGTATACTTCATCCAGGTAGCCCTTTAAAGCTTCCTTGAGAGTACTATAGAAGAGATATATTTGGCACGGGAAGAGGCGCTTTACCACATTCGTATACACATCCTAACAAATATATTTTAAAAAGTAATCATCTTACTGCTTATAGTTAAGCAAAAACACTTAGAACTTACATCTAGTATTTAAGGTGAAAGGTCATTTTCCTTTTCTCTCCTTTGGCACTTTACTTTGGCCTTGATTTCTCTCACATCATCTCAGATTCCTTTGACTAGTAAATACAAGTACCAGTTTTGAACATAAAGTGGCTCAATTTCAGAATGCTTGTCCTGGTGGCCTTTGTCTTTCTTGTAAGGATGTTCTTCAATGAAAAAAAAAAAAAAAATGTTCAAAAAAAAAAAGAAAAAAAACTTTCAAAAAAAAAAAAAAAATTATAAGATAAATATCGATATTCAAAGTAAAAAAAAAAAAAAAAGACTATATATAGATTTACCATCTTGATTACATAACTGATTTTGATTTGTTGATTGTCTTTTCCATAATCTACCTCTTGATTTGGGATCAGGGTTACGCTGTGGTAATAAGGACTAATCTTGATCATTAGATTGGCTAGAATGTTGAAATAAGTTAGATTGTTGATCGTTAGATTGACTGGAATATTGAGGTAAGTTAGATTGTTGAGGTAAGTTAAATTGTTGAGATTGGTTAGATTGTTGAGGTTGGTTAGATTGTTGAGCTTGGTGGGATTGTTGAGTTTTGGGGGATTGTTGAGTTTGGTGGGATTGTGAAGTTTGACAGGATTGTGAAGTTTGGTGGGATTGTGAAGATTGTTTTGAGGTTTGATATGATGCATGTCAAGTTCTTATCTTAGCAAAGATATTATGAACGCTTATAATACTTTTTGATGAATCAGATGAATCATCATCATCATTATAAGTATTATTATAAGTAACTGATGAAGAACAGCAATTATGAGAATTATAAATAAATTATTGAGAATGAGATATATGAGGAGTAACAGATGAAGAATGAGTTGAATGGCGGTTATGAGGATTATGAGTAACCGATTAAGAACAGTATGTATAAGAAGAACAATGAGTTTTAGAAAAGTTGTTATGGTTAGCAATTGTATCAAAGGTAATCGGTTGAGAGAGAGATGTAGTTGTTATAGGGGTAGAGAGAAAAGGTGCAGATAAGTTTGAGTTGTTTGAGTTAGTAGAATTGTTTGACATTTTAATCCAAAAATTTTAAAAATGTATTTAATGTATTTACCTTTAACTGTTGAAAATCTGTTGTATTTATATTTGTATATTTAAAAACTTCACAAATATATAATTTAATAAATTTAATGACAGTAATTGTTATTTAAAGAATAAAATATGAAAATGAAAACTTATCTCATTCTTTCAGTTTGTTAGCATACTTATAGACTATTGCCAAGATTTACAGATTTTGTCATTATCAAACCGATATTACATCAATATAATTATAATTTAATGTTACTCATTATGTCATGCATAATACACGAATACATGCTAGTTTTTGCACATGTTATTGTTTCACGAAAATGTGCAATATACGAAATTACTTAAAGTGATTAAATTCAATTTTATTGATATAAATCAATTTATATAGATTTTATTATATAAATCGATTTGTATAAATTTTATTTTATAAATCGATTTAAAAAAAATACTCACGTTATATTCTTCAGATCTTTCTTATTTGATCTTTATAATTGATATATATTTTAATTGCACTCTTTCGATCTATTGTTTTTTTTCCCCTCTTATTTTCTTTCTCTTGTTATCTTTTTTTTTTTTGCTTTAAAATGAATTGGCCATGTGATCATTGCAATCATTTGTTTACAAGGCCTCAAGTCTTAACACAACATTATTTACAAAAGTATCCTAACATTTAAAACCATACAAATCTAGAGCTCTCAGATAAACAAGTGGATGAAAATGTTTGGAATTATTCGAAATATAGTTCTGATTATGATTCTTCAGAATATGAGGTAAATGGTTAATATTTTTCAGATTAA